AGCAGAATAGTGGACATTTCTTTGAGTACAGTATGATTTACTCTAACCCAGGGCTGGAAGGATAACTTAAGGTGACTGGATAGTGTGGTTTCAGTGGTCCAGCCAATAACTGCTCCCCTGCTAAGAGCAGCAGTAAAGACAACAAATAGAACGAGCTCACCTGGGGGAAAAAAAAACCATCACAAAACCAAAAAGAAAACAAACCATTCCTTTTATGGTGAGTACTGTTTTCATTAGAAAAAAGAACTGTTGTTACTCATGTTACTCCCTGAAAAAGAGATTCAGTATTTTAAAAATACAATTGTGAACTATCATATTATCTCATTATTGCTTTCATATAATTAAAAGCTCCAGATATGGATTGTTCCATGATATAAGGAATGAAACTGATGAAAAGTAGTTTTAGAATAGTTTACTGATGCCATACTCCTAAAAGGTTAATGTGGAAAAGATGTTTTGTAGCTTCATATGTGGCCCAAAAACGCCATTTTGGTTTAGTACTGCCCACCAGTACATGTATATAAAAGCATTGCTTGAGGTATTTCTGTATAGTCAAATAAAATCCAGTTCTGATGTAACAGACTGGACAGCAATTTCAGTTAGGACTTTTACTGAATTTTATGAGTAAGACTTGTAAAAGAAGAAAGTTTTTAGCTAAACTTAAATAGCTTCAGAAAATGTGACTTTGAAAAGTTCTTGCAGGAATTATACAGATTCAAAAAAACTCTATTAACATATTACAGTTGAGAAACTGATCAAAGACAGTATTAGAAAATTCCCTGTAGCAATACTGCTAGGGTCATAAATGTGCTTGGAATTCATTACTGGCATTTCATAATGCCAAAATAGAAAAGGGAATTCATCATGATTGGACTCTTAGGTTTTTATTATTGTAAATATGGTAGCAGTGAGGATGAATGGTACTCTAGTGATATTAAATTACATTTGATAGCTGTTTCTTAGAGTAAATTGTAAAAACATTGCATTTCTAAAAACACTGCCCCCTGCTAAAAGAAAGCCCTACAAACAACCAAACTTAACAAACCCTAATGATAATGTTTAAGGAAAATATATTTGGTTTTGTTCTTGGAAGAGAGAACCAGAAGAAAAGTAAGGAAATGATACATTAAATAGCTTAAAATTTGGACCTAGATTTATTCCCCACAGCTATAAGGCATTTGTAAGCTATATGCATTCTTCCATGACACATAGGTCTGCACCTGGAAGAACATCTTTATTTTGTCACTGGGTTATTTTATAAGCTTGCTTAAGTAGTAAGTGCTGAAGGGTCTAATGTACACAGAACAAACCCACCCAAATTGTATCTCTTCAAAGTGCGGTTTAGAATCAGTTCATGGTGCTGTAAATGAACCTTTTAACAGATTTAACAGATATTCTGCATGTGAGATCCCACAAATCCATTATTTTATCATCCTCTGATTAAAATTATGTCAATTTATAAAACAATTTTAAAAAGCAGCATGTAATATATCATTCAGATATGCCAAGTTTCACTTTTCTACAGTTACTGTTCACAATATCCCAAATATAAAGTATTATAAAGAAACTAATAATACAGATTAGCTGTTAGACATGGTTTTTCAAGTGCATTGAATGAGTTCACTTAAAACATCAGATTCCTCAATCTGAGATTGTGTTAATTACAAATAAGCAGCAAGAGTTAAAAACTCGTCTGACTACATAAACCAATGAATCTCCATGTGTATAATTATCTCTAAGCAAAGGTTAGGGGTTCTTTTGATTTATAGCACTTTGCTGAAGAAGGAAAAAAGGGTCAGTTTGATGGTTTTACTGATGTGTTTCTTTTCTTTGGCAAAAGTCTTTTTTGTTACTTAGGCAAACAGAGTTACTCATCAGTACTCCCAATTCTCTGATAGGATGTAGTATCGCTTTACAAGCCACATGGCCAAAGGAACTATGGAGCTCTTTTCATTAAGTTTATATTCACTTAATTGGGATGCACCCAATTTAGACAGGCCTGCATTAAGTCCCACTGAGCCTGAAGGAATAAACACGTTACTTTAAATCCACCAGTTTCTTCGTTTAGATGCATGCTTACCCAATGAATGCACTCAGCTTACTTTTTAGTGGCAGGCTGGAAACAAATTTTGTAATGCAGAAATTAAAAGTAATTTCCAGTGACTGTTGACAGTAGCTCTCAGGAAGCAGCTTTATCAATAGGTCTGTATTTCATGAAGATAGCCACAAAGAGTACAGAGGGGCAGGGATCAGTGACAACTATGAACAGCCTAAGAAGAGATTAGTGAACCCCAAGCTTCATTACACAAATTTGTGAAAGTAAAAGTGTTTTTACTCTTTATTAAAATATGAACTGCATTCCAAACTGTTTATACTTTTGTTGTTTTGAAAAACAAGCACTCCTGTGTCTTTTAAAAAAGGAATAGGTACAACAAAATTACTTTTACTTACCAGTTTTTATTTCCCAGGGTCCTATCAGATAACTCAACTCTAAAGCAAATATGCTACATGGAAGCAAAAAGAGGAGAAAAACTAAACTACCCAGTCATCATGAAGTACTGAACAGAAAAGGCACTCCAATGTGGATTAAAGTAATAAGCATAACACAGTAGGAATCTCCAGAAACATGTCCTATGAAACTAAGGATGTAAGGTGCAGGTGCAGGCTGGAACATAAGAGGTTCCGCAGAAAAACTCTTCCACAGTGAGGGTGACAGAGCGCTGGAACAGGCTGCCCAGAAGGGTTGTGGAGTCCCCTTCTCTGGAGACATTCAAAACCCTCCTGGACACGTTCCTAATGTCACCTGCTCTAGGTGGTCCTGCCCTGGAAGGAGGGTTGGACTAGATGATCTTTTGAGGTCTCTTCAACCCCGAACGTTCTGTGATACTGTGATGTCTGTATTTGTATGAATATGAGTCCTACACGTCTTTGCAAGCAGCCCTACTTCGTGTCTGGAACCTACAACATCTTTTAGCCTTATCTTCTGTTTCCCATAAATGCTTCGCAGTTACACTAAGCTTTTTTTCTGCTATGCTGGGCAAGAACATTTATTGCAACGGCACGTGTGCCGACTGTATGGCCAGCCTGAGGACAAAACCAGACCAGATAACTACTGATCTCTAACTAAAGTCTTCTCCTCATGGAATTTTGTCTTCTACCAAACTGCTAATTTTTACAGAACTGGTAGAGTTTTAACTGAGGCACGTGTGCTCCAGTTAAAATTGACTAAAGGAAGCTAGTGAACTCAGAAGTGATTAGGGGCCACCAATAACCAAGAAGACAGCATACTGAAGTTAGTCTCCCATCCACAGGAATTCAGGCATTTGAGGGATAAGGAGAAATATCCTGTCTAGGCCTTCACCAGTGTTTTTGCATATAGTTAATGAGATAGGCTGTACTATGAGTTGGCACTGACAAAGCTTGCAAGCCTTCATCTTGGTAATTGGCAATAATGAGATATGCCAATTGTTACACAACCACAACTGGCTGCACGGGTCGGACAGTCTAATAGAACGCAGTGTAACTAAAAGCCCATGATGAATTTGGAGATTTTTAAGTGTTTCTAACTCAATATGTAAACTCTTTTAAAATCTAGCTTATGAAGAAAACCTTCAGAGTGATGAAGCCGAGCGTCCAGCTAGCAGTATGATTAGTTTGTTAAAATGAATTTGTGCAATTAGATAAAACGCTCTGTATTTTCATGTTAGCATTAATTATTAGTTTGTTTAAAATGTAGGCTAATGCTTTCAAGCATGTACAAATACAGAAGTGCTACAGAAAATCAGGATATGTTTCTGTAGCTACCTGGTTTATACTTCAGGACATTTTTTTCTTTTTATTTTTTCTAGGGTAGAATTAAGAGTCCTGAGCACAGAATCCAAGGTGAGAGCATTGTCGTTGATTTAGGACCGTAACATGTCAGCATTTTCCCCCCTAAATTATTGCTATTAGTGTTATACACAATAGAGTTTTCCAAGTGAACTACTAGATTTGTTTTTTTTTTAAATCTGAGTTTAATTTGAAGTAAGACTTGAGTGACAGATGCAGATGACTGCCACTATTGGGAAGGAGCTGCAATGGTGCAACTTAGAGAGACACATACTCTGATCATGTTTTGGCTTGTGAGTTTGGGATTTTGTGCCTAAGCAAGAAATGAGTCCATTATGGTCATAAGAATGGCAGCCTAAGTTACTTAGTACAATCACCTGTGTCTTCGAGGAGCCACTAGTACCTACCTAGGAAGGCAGCAGCAACCCCAGGGTATTCTAACGTGAGGCACTTCTTGGACCAATGCATTTTTCTGTTTTTGTCTGCTTTGGTTTTGTGCTCATGTGAACTAGCATCTGCAACATCTCATGTCATTAAACCTCTAATTACACTACAAGTTGCATGAAGCCCTGCTGCTTTCCATTTATTTTGACCCTGTTACCAAAGGATTTTTTGATACCTTCTAGCTCTGGTATTAGGTGAAAGGATGTAGCCAGCCACTCCCTCCTTATCTCCCATGTACTACTTATGATTTTATAGATGCCTGTGAGCTTGCCACATGTAGCCAACAACTCCAGAAAAATACTTCCTGTGTTTACTGAATATTATGTTGATCCTTTTTCATGTGGCTGCAAGTTCTGTTTAGGTATTTTGAAGCTGATGTTGTTTCTTAATACATAGTTGCTATGGATCTAGCAGAAAAAGAAAATCATTAGAAGCTTACGCTATTTCACAAACTGATGATATGGTACCAAACAATTTTTCAGATTGGTAACTGTTCAAACTCAATATGCTTGGGACAGAAGAAAAGAGAAAAGAATGCAGTTGCAATGTTTGTAAAAATATGTAATCTGTAAAGAAAGAAGGGAAAGTTAAGGGGTTTTGGCCTTGTAAACTAAAGAAGACACTGTTCAAAAACCAGTTCTATTTCACTCTAAATTCTTTCCAACTCTTCACGTTGCTGGGAAGTATATACAAACAGACTATGCCATAACATTATGAGGTTATCTTACCTGACCCATTTTTCAGGTATCCATTTGCATCTACAGTAGTGTACATGATGTAAGGACCAGGCTGATTAACACCGAAAGGCTACAAGAGGGAGAATAAAAAAAAACCAAACAAACAAACAAGCAGGCAAAATTTTAGGGACAAACAGAGCTGTAGTAATGAAACAGTAAACCAAACAAAAGTGTTTCTAGGTTAATGATTTACTTTTGATATGGGTAATTTCAAAATCCTGCAACTTTTTTTGGTCATAGCATTATATAGAAATTAATTTTCAAAATAAGGCTGATCTGCTGGCTAAGTAATGTTTAGTTTCTCATGAAGAAAACAATAATACTTAGTGCTCTAACAAAAGGTTTAATGGAAGTAACAAGTAACATACACCCACCCAAAATTTCAAAGAAATAACTCCATGTTCTGAAAAAGCAGAACTCATTTGATATTGTCTGTGAGAATGCACTATCTTGATGGTCTTTCTGAACTGAAAAAAAGCTACACAAATTCAAAATATTGTTATCATTATTTAGTGTTGTTTTATTTAATTCATGAAAGTGGTTGAATATTTATTTGTCAAGTACCAATATCTATTTTATGCAGATTCTCTGTGGGAGAAAATGTACTTAAACATCAAAGTACAGTTATGGAGGGGAAAAAAAAAAATCAAAGTTAGTTTTGGATTATTGAGTGATGAACCATAACAAATGCACCTAAAAAGGTGTGGGGAAAAATTATTTGCTATGGTGGGGAAGGGAGAGGAGGGGGGACAAATCTAAGAATAGATTTTAAAGAAAGTTTTCTTTTTTTTTTTATTCAAGCTGGTATTAGAGCATCAAATCCAGTAGAGATCTTTCAAATGAGCTACAGAAGGAATGTTAAAAGAAGAGATGATGATGCATTTCACACCATGCATCAAAAAATAATAAGTTCTAAACCCTAAGAATAAGTGATAATGATGAGAGATGGGATCAAAGCCTGAAAAATAATAATTGATGAGAATGAAGAGTAAGGAGACTGCAAAGGTGATGTTAATGCAGACCTAGGAAAGATGAGTAAATATGGTGCAAGTGTGATTTTTTTTTTTTTTTTTTTTTTGTTTTTTTTTTTTTTGGCACCAAGTAGCTGTATTCTGGCATAATGTTCTTTATCTTACTTTCTGACAGAGAACTTCGATTACAGTGCAGGCAATAACGTTTCAATGATCTTGATAACATTTGTTCACCAATATCTATTGCGAAGCTTTGTTTTCAAACCCTCTCTTTAGTTTTGCAAATTAAGCTAATAGCACTGTCAAACCCCCTTATTATTTTACATCAGAAATTAAACCTTATGTCTTCAAATAGGCTTGCAGAAAAAAGTGGCCCCATTTGAAGCAGTTTTTTTTATTTTCAAATCAAAATTACATCTCATTTATACTCATTAGCGAAAGTGCTAATGCTAGCTTTGATTCCTCTAAGTCCCTCTTTTAGGCTAACTTTTATAATGAACATTGCTAAAACAACTTGGTAATTGAAAGTTTGGTGGCTGAGTTTCAGGGTCTCTGGAGGTGATGAAAATAACTGAAATAGAAATCAGCACATGTAGATACAGCCATCTGCAGAATCAACACAACCAAGTCTATTTCCTTCCCTCCTATCCTTCATTGTACCAACTTACTGTACTTTAGTTCAGAAGTGGCTCTATGGCTGAATCTGTCCTATCATCAGTTTTGCCTGGCCTTTTTGCCTGCCCAGAACAAGGCTTGGCAGGCTACACGGTTTGGGCATCCAGCTCTATTGCACAAGTTTTTCTTGTCTCTGGTACACCCCAGCCCCCATGATGCTGGGTAACAAACCTCACTGCAGAATCAGTCAATTTAATCTCTCAGCAGGCAGCTGGCAAAAGGTATGCGTCTCAAATATGGTTCTCTGCAGAACCTGGCCAGTCATCGTTTGGATTACACATTCTTCCAGTCAATAACTGTCTTGATATGTTTAGAGTTTTTGGTATAATTAAACTTCAGTTTACTTGTGGCTAATTAGTAATGCAAAGTTATAGTTACACTTACTGTTATTTTCCGAGGACAGTCATTAGAACAGAGGCCACTGAGAACTGCAACAACAAAAAGTGAGCTTGTAGTGTTTATGATGACAAGCTGTCTTACAAACACTACCTCTGAAATATGTTAATGTATAGTAATACTGTCAGGTATTCATTAAAACTCAAAGAAAATCAGTGTCTTCCACATGACTTACGTTAATGTATAAAAAAATCCTAATGTTTGAAGCATACTTCTTTGCAGAAATTAATCAGCTAGTCACTGTTTCATTATATCTCATTAATAACCAGACTCAAAAGGAGACATCTGCCAGTTAAAAAAAGTGGACTGTACAATTTACTCTTTCTTCTTAATTTCTAACCATTTAAAAATACTGGCAGAAATTCATCTATGTTGTTTAACTGGTAAAAATGTAACTAAAGGCTTTTCTTCTATACACAGGATAGTTTTAGAACTTGTTTTAAAGCTATTCACAAAAGCTGTAACAAACAAAAATCCCAGTACCTATTTATCCTATTAATTCAAAAGTGTTACAAGTAGATGTGTATACTGCTACTTAATGTGTAAAGCCTGTGGCAGTTGTTCAATTACTTGTTTAAAATGTACTAGTTTCAAAATCAGTTATATTACAGAAATATCTGTTAAACATTTATAATCAACTAAATGATGGACAATGAAAGCCATCTGTTTTAAAACCCAGAGCATCCTGTCACACTGACTATTAGAACATCAGTACCAAAATGCCTTTAACAACAAAACATACACACACACACACACACACACACACACACATCTAAGGCATCATTCTGATGCAAAGTTTAGACTTCAGAAGAAAACAGCTTGGTTGAGCAGCAGGGAGAAGCTAGAGACCAGCAGTCTCAAAGCCAAGTAAAACCAGAACTTCCCCATGAGTTATGGCATCCTGAAGCAAGTATGGCAGAGAGCAAAAACTAAGATTTGGACCAGCTCTGAAAGAAGGTCATACTAACCACCAGGAGTTTTTTTTTAAAGCATTTTCTGTGTACTTTAAGACTCCAAGGAATAGTACAAAATTCCTGAGGACAATGAAAGACTAAAAGGTGCACAGAAGATGTTAAACATCAGGTTAGAAATCGTTCCCTACTGCAGTCACAAATGGCATTGTTCTAGTGAAGGAATGTTTCTAGTATTTTGTGTGCAAATATTAACAATTGTCACAATTCCCAAGTTACCATTCTTCACTTGTCATTTAAAAGTTCAAATTTCCAAATATAGAAAAATATAGTATTTCTGTACAGGGGAAAAAAAATAAAATCCAGACAGGTAAGATCAAAGTGTGGCAAATTACAATTTGAAGACTATGTATCTATAAATAGACTTTCCAAACTATAAGCTTATTTTAAGTGTTGTATACAATTAGCATCAACTCTTCCAATTTTTATGCAGATCAGCACGTTACATTTTGCTGTTCGGTTTTCCTACTGGAACAAATATGACCAAGTACATCTGACATCAGTTATAACGTGCAAAACTGTTGCCAAGTAAGTGAACTAAAGGCATTCATTGATACCCTAACTCACACAAAGCAAGTTTTGTTAGAAAGACTCTCCCCCATATCACATGAAAAATATTTTTACACTGCTCATTAATTCCCCTTTCCTTGGGTTTCCACGCAAAAATACTCACACCCTAAAAAGGTGCTAAAAAAGGCTTGCTCCAATTATTAAGATTGATTTACACCGAGTAAGTCAAAAAGCACACTGAAAATTACTCCTTTCCCCACTAAAATACCACACGGTTAGAATTCTAATATGGCTTTGTGAAGTGTAAGATTTTTCTAGAGGATTTTCTGCATTCTTGTGTGAATTACACTACCCATACACAGTATTATTTAAAAGAGGTCTTCCATCAACATGACAAATCATCATAGGGTGTTACCATGAGAATAAAGCTTAGGCTAAGGAGAAAGTCATAAATGCATCAGCCCCCAGTAGTAGCTGCAGTAGTTTATCTTGTGGTGTGCAGAATGTATGCTTTAGAAGGATTAGATGCATTTAAATAACATGAAAGCAAATACAGTTTTTGGAGGTGAACTTCTAGTTCTTCCTGTTTAGCTCTGTCCTCGTAAGCTTGCCTACAAGCCTCATCTTTAAATCTTTGTCAAAAAAATCATGGAAGACAGGCAAGCAATGGGCTCAAAGCTCAACGCCTTTAGAGCTGAAGAACAGAGTAGGGCGTGCAATTTGAAAACCCAATTACTGTGAATTACAAATATCGTAGTCTAACTCTAGCCTTTTAAACCAAGTCTGTAATTAATTCACACACCCTGGACATGTTCACTGCCACTCCATGATTTTACGGCAAGATGTGTTTTGTGCCATGTGATGCTTTTAGGCTGAAAACACTGATTGACTGGCACATGGAAACAAACTGGCTCTCACAACAGGTCATGTAGCATAAGCAAAATATACACTGTGCTGGTTGTCACTGAAATGAAACCAGCCCATTCTGCACAAGATTCTGCACTGTTTCCAGGTTATATAGAAAAGACCTCCCATAAAGTAGGGTTGATAGGACAGAGGTACAGCAAAAGAGACAGAAGTCCTTGCTAAAAAGAAAATCTTGCAATCACTCAAGGCATAGATAAAAATAAGTGCACTTGGCTATTGTTTCTTTCTAGGTTTCTGAAAAAAGGCAAGATAAAAAGGCAGTCATTGTGGACAAACAAAACATGTTCCTTCAAGTCAGGATCACTATAATTTCTTCTAGTTCCTTTGTCTCACTATGGCATAAATACTTATATGTGCAGGGATAATTTTATTTTTTCTCAAATTACTGTTTTATGAGCTAAACTTCCTCCAAATTTTAACTAGCATCACACATTAAAAAAATATATCTAAGCTGAATGATAGATAAGTGTAGTTATATCATTTACATTGACAACATTATGTTATGTGACAAGACAAGTGAAGGCATTGTACAAAAGATTCACAGAAAGGGCCTTGAAAGTTCACTTAATCCATCCTCTTCCCTCAGAAACAGTTAAATATTCTACATAACTTCTCAATCTGGTTGTCTAATGCTGGTGACTACAGTTTCTCTGAGAAATTGTTAGTACTTCAAAAACCATAATTTAGGAAATTATTTTATTTATTTACTCTTCATGTTGTATATAGTACGGGCACACTCTTCCTATTATGCATCATTATGGATTGAAAACATGCATCTTCCAATATATTTCTCTTTTAAGCTGAATGACTTGGTTCTACATGTTTTTTCCCCTGCAGATCATATTTTTGGACACTTGATAATTTTTGTTCTTCTCTCAGAAGTCAGCTGAGAAGTTAGGCTTTAAAGACCTAGTATATGTCCTTAGATTTTTCTTCTAGGATGCAGAACAATCAGTCCAGGATGAAATGAAAGGTTTAGCCTGCCTCTAGTTAATGAGTGAAATAAGACATGCATTCTTTACACTTATGTAGAGGTCATCATTGTCTACACTGATACGAAAAACAGCTGAAGTGTGGAAAACAGTGGGCAGAATTACTTCGAATTTTATAAGTACACTAAAACAAAACCAAGAAAAAACCCTTTGAAATGAAACAAACCCAACTTATCCAAGTTCAGAATCTTCAACAAGAGATTTCTGCAGTCCCCAGTATTTTCTTTTGTGTTTTTTTTTTCTTTTCTAGAATTATCATACACAGAGCATTACTAGAATGTTATCATATAAAGAGCCTCAAATATTCACATTTTTCTCAGTGTCCTGTTGTAACTTGCTGTATAAACAGTGAGAACTTACCAATAACTTTAACAAAATAGGCATCTGATTCAAAGTTATTTTTTAATGTATGGATAGCAAAGTCCTTGTTGGAGTAGCTTTTGCTTAGCACAATGATATCCAAGATTCCCTAGAGGGAAAAGAAGAAAGTTTACATCAGAATGCTGATTTACTCCAGATAACATCTAAATTTAGCCAACAAATTGCCTTAGAGATACAAGGAAAAAAAAATAGAGCATGTGCAGCAAAGTTTACATCTTCCCTACTAATTTTAATCTTTCAAATCTTATTAATCTATGGCAATTTAGGGCAGCATCCTCCATTCACATCTAACCAGGACAATGCATGCAGTCCATGGCTTGTTTCTTGCCACTGAAGAGGGCAGTTCAAACGGAGGGTCAGCAAACTTGTAAGCAGTGATGGGCTGCTGCTATCTGCTCCCTTTCCAAGGAGCACCTTGGAAGAGTGACTTTCCCAGCCTGAAGACACTGCCCACCCTGTGCTGTAAAGCCAACGTTTCTATAGACCAGTCTGCCAACAGCACACGCAGATACAGCAACACAGAAAGAGAGGCGATGTTTGCTTAGTAAAGAACTGAACTTACATCTTCATATATGTCAAAGAAGGTTGCCACCACTGCATTTTTGATTTGATTTAGATCCGAGAGCTCCCAAAAAACTTTAAACATGCGACGTACACTCTTGCAGCTTACATTATTGCATGGGACATTTTCTAGTAAAAATGCTTGTTGATTGCTGTAAAACACACATATATATGTATACATAAACCAACTTACTATAAACAGTCTAAATAACAGACATTACAGAAATATTGTAATTTAATAATTTAAGTCTGAAGTTAAATGTAATAAAAACAAAGCTAGAAGCCACTGGATACTTTAAAATCCATAAGCATTTATGTTAATTTTACAGAAGGAATTACAACCATTACATCATGCCTGACTTATACCAATGAATACACCTAATTAATGGGTCCAAATCATCAGGAATAATTTTATTAACTATCCACTCAAAAGACTTGAGCATATTCTAACTATGCTCTGAAACAAGTACAAGTGCACTTATTTGCCATTTTCCTTAATCCCTCCACAGTCCTTCAGTTTAAACATTACTTAAAAAGTGTCAGTACTTTTCATTATTTTATGACAACCTCTTCCCGTCATTTGTCCCACCACTCTTCCGTTAAATTTTCTTACACACTGCATGATGTATTAAACAAATTTAAGAGTAAAGATTAAACCAGATCTCTATTGGCATGTTTTCCATTGTTTCAGAGCAAGATATAAACCACAAAACCCAACCTACTAGCATGGTAAAAATAGGACAAGACAAAGCAAATTGGACATTTGCTGACACATAACAAGTACTAACAGAAAGATAGACTGTAGTAAAAAAAAAAGCAAACCAACCGGAGTACCAGGTCTAGTATAGCAAAATCTCCCATCCAAAGGATTTATCTAACACATCCATTGGTCAGTGGGAGACACAAGGTTCATACATGCACGCTGATGATATAATGCTTTTCAGCATTATATGCTATCTCTGATGCTGTAACATTGTCACTCTTGCTGGAACTGTGAAAACCTTCAGATTTTACCAACAGGGGGTCTGATTCTTTGGCAGGTCTATCCTGGGAGCCTGCTAGAATCCATCACTGTGTTGGCAATGGGAACAGATGAAGTTTCCTCTTCTCTTTCTGGGGGCAGAGCCAGGATATGGAGCAGACAATGTTCTGTAAAGCTAGCTAAGCATGTCAGAGCCCAGGGCAATAACCAAACCCACTTTTTCATTATGACCTTGAACATACTGCTGCTTCTCAGGGTGACAGCAAGGTGTTTTTCTGTATCTTAATGGCATCCAGTGCCTCCAGGATGCAATGACACACACAAGCATTTCTCCCTAGCAAAGTACTTATTTTTGTTTCCATAGTATATTTCACATAATTAGCTACTCATAAGAATCATGTCCCACAACAGTCATACATCTGTTCCATTAATTTCAGAAAGAGTTAGAGAAGGGCAAAACGTTGGCCCTGAGAAAAAACATTTCTGACACCAAAGTCAGCCAGTTTCCTTGCCGGATGTCAGGTTAATATTTCAGAATCTGCAATGGGAAAAATATAGAATTTTGTTTTCTGTAAGATGTGTCAAAAGTAAAATGGGATACTGGAAATCCTTCAAAACCTTATAATTGCACTTCTTGTGCTTCTTTTAATTTGTGTAAAAATACACAAATTAGGCCTTTATTTTTTTTCTGCCATATGCCTGCATTTAATGGAAGCTTAATATGAACAAGATCCTTTTTACTATTTCACTGTTAGAAGCATTAGCATATTGAATTAATGTCCAGCTAAAATAAAATGAGGTCATCTGCAATATTTAAGACATTGTATTATCTATATCTGAGAACTCATAACCATAACTTGAAACTGTTAAACGTTCACATTCATTTCATGTATTACATAAGTATTTTAGCAGATTAACCAACTGTAAGGTGAGGTGACAAACTGAGCTAAGTGAATTGTTTAATTTTGTTTTTCATCATCTTGACATACACTTTTTTTAAATTTGGAGGAGGTTTGTTACAACGATGCTTTCTTTCAATTCACATGTTTTAAATTGCCAGAAATTACTAGGTGATAATTATTTAAAAGACAAAAGATAGTCCAACTTGGATTATACTCCATGTACAGAGTAGTGTTCAGGTCTAAACTATAAGCCTTGTGAATGTGTAGATATAAGAAGTTTATTTACTACAGGAACCTTTTTTATTTCCTTTCCTTGGCAGTGTACAGTTAATGACTTTCAAAACCTCACAAACTGGACAAACAAAATCATAAACCCAACTGCACTGTGAGAAAAAAGGAAGATAGTAATCAAAGTGGCATTGAGTAGGGAAACACAGAAGGGTGAAGAAAAGCAGCATCAACAAGAGAAACCCAAGACAAACAGCACAAACAAAAAACAATACCAAAGCCTAAACAGATGCTGAAGGCTGAGAAGTGCACTATAGGAGCGCTATCTTGTAGAAGAGAAAAAAATAAATTCATAGATTTAGTGTTCCTTGTGGCAGAGCAGCAAAGGTCTGGAGAATCCCTAATCAGAATATAGCTGAAAATCTACTAATGCTTATCTTAACAGGCAGCAAAAAATTTCATTTCATACTGCTACTCGATTTATATTCATACAGTCCTTTTTGAAACACAGATACAAGCTTGCCTAGTAAAATTAACAACTCAGAGTTGTTACATATAAACATTCAGCTACAGCAAATGTTAACTATACAAGTATATACACATAGGTTTAGATTCACCGCTGTGAGTCATGAGTTGAAATCTGATTATTTCAATTTTTTTTAAAGAGTCACTGTTACCACTTACCATAAAAAAAAAAACAAAAACAAACAGCTTGCAAGATAACAAAACCAATGACATTCTGCAGCTAATTAAAAATATTACTATTGGTGAGAAAGATGAGATAAGACAAGATTTAAATGTGAACTGCAATGTTAAACATTTTCAATCTTGAGGTTTTCTTTTAAGTGGAATTTACAGAAACACATCACTTCACTGGAAGCATAGACAGCTATGTATAAGCTGGTTATTACTAGAATTCTAATTAAAGCTGAGCCTTCTTTCCTGTCAATTTCCAAGGCAAGTGCTCAGCACTTATTTAATTGATGTCTTCAAATTATTTATTCTATACAGCATAAAATTCCTCTTGTTTCTTCAAAAAGCATCTTTGGAAAGCACAATGAGAAGAGTTAATAACTTATTAGATATGCAGTTTGTAAACAAATGCTTTAAACTTGAGAATTCCACTCAGCTTCTTCTACATCTGGTTCTTTTCCTTTTCTTTTAAAAAAGGGATAGTAATTTTAGTAAGGAACTAATTAGCAAGACTCACGTTTAACTCTCAAATGATTCTGTGTGATTCTTAATTTTCCTCATATTTCTGGCCAAAATTTTTAATGGCATATCGTGCCATTATTATTTGAACAGCACTGGCCAACTAAAATAAACTCTTGAAATATTAGTAGTTTCTGCTGAAAATATTAATTTCTGGTATATTTACTTACATGTATTTCCTCTTTTGACTGAAACTGAGTGAACAAGATCTTCCTTTTCCTCAAGTATTTTCAGCCCATTATCTCTTGATAATATACTGAGTAAGAATTTTATCATTAATATGTAGGAATTTTCAACACCACCTAGAAATGGTTTCAGAACAACTACCTCTAAAAAGCAGATGCATGCACTTACACAACAAAGCCAAAAAGGTTTTCATTTGGTGGTGGTGCCAGAACTCCTGACACCTGGATTTAGCCCATGAGCTGCCAGTTGAATCCTTATGTTATTTAGGACTTTAATAAGTAAGTGTGACTAGAAACAAAGTATCTACCTTCATGTTTTACTTCTGCTACATACTACAACCAAGAGCAAATTTATGGCCTTCCTTTTATTTGGAATCAAATTTTGAAGAGCAACACCATCAGAAAAAAAAAAAAATCTCCCTGTAACAGTGAAAATCATCAGCATCCTTAAAATGTCAAAACAATGTCCCTGAAAGCCAATGGGAAAACAGATTAAAGACACACACTGCTATGATGGTAAAAACCTTAAAATCAATGCTAAAAGTGCTACACACGTGTAACTGTCAATATCATAGAATCATAGAATCATTTAGGTTGGAAGGGACCTCCAAGATCATCAAGTCCAACCACTGAGCCACCAGGGCTCCATAGTCCTCTGCCAAAACAGATCAGAATCTGTCAGGGTTGGAAGGGACCACAAGGATCACCCAGTGCCAACCCCTCTGCCATGAGCAGGGACACCTCCCACTAGATCAGGCTGCCCAGAGCCTCCTCCAGCCTGGCCTTAAAGACCCCCAGGGATGGGGCCTCAACCCCCTCCCTGGGCAACCCACTCCAGGGCCTCACCACTCTCATGGGGAAGAACTTCTTCCTCATGTCCAGCCTGAATCTGCCCACTTCCAGCTTTGCTCCATCCCCTCTGGTTCTGTTGTTACTTGGTATCCTAAAAAGTCCCTCCCCAGCTTTCTTGTAGGCCCCCCTAAGATACTGGCAGGCCACACTAAGGTCACCTCAGAGCCTTCTCTGCTCCAGACTGAACAGCCCCAACTCTCTCAGTCTGTCCTCGTAGGAGAGCTGCTCCAGCCCTCGGATCATTCTCGTGGCCCTTCTCTGGACACGCTCCCGCAGGTCCACGTCCCTCTTGTAACGGGGGCTCCCAGAACTGGATGCAGTACTCCAGGTGGGGTCTCACCAGAGCAGAGTAGAGGGGGATAATCCCCTCCCTCGACCTGCTGGCCACACTTCTCTTGAGGCAGCCCAGGATCTGGCTGGCTTTCTGGGCTGCAAGTGCACACTGTTACCAATATCAATATCAAACAGTTCAGCCTAAATACTGAGATTAGGCAAAGCAAAAGAATCCTGAACTAGCATATGCCCTTTGCAGCACTTTTAATATTTAGGTGTACACACCAATGTATACACAGTGGCAGCTAAATTGTGCACTACCTGCATAACTATCCCAAACCGCTTATGGCTGATGATCAATCAAGTATAGAGCTGTCTACAATTTTGAACCTTCTCACTGAAGTCACCTGTACATCAAAGCTAAATTTAACAAGGCTGAATAACCCTAAGCAAGGCTTATTATCAAGAAGAAAAATGGAAGACTTACCTCAGTTTTATTTTAACATATTTCTTTGTAATTAGAATTAAATATTTACTGCATAACTTCATACCTCTCTCATTCTGTCAGTTTTAGGCTAGTTCATTTACAGTTATACAGCAGATATCTACATGACAAATATTTTACTCTAGACATTCAGAAGAATTTTATTTGCCTCTGGTGTTTCAGTTTTGCTCAATTACAAGATGTTCACCATTCCTACATTTCAAAGAAGTCCCCTATCCAACCTTACTTCTGACAAGTGACAACTAACAATGATTCATGAAGATATAATTTGGTCAAATAAGAGTCCTTTCAAGTATACCCATATAAAGGAAAAATACACATACATTAATTTAAAACTGAGTATGAATACCTGCAAAACATTCTAGAAGTGTATTATGGAAGTACAGAAGTGTTTCAATCAACTGTCCATATCCAGTTTGTTATCTCCAGGGTTCAGTCTTTACTGCTATTTATCACCAACGTCAGAGAGATACTGTATTTCCAAATTTACCAATGGAAAATTTTACCTTTGAGTAAATGCATAATTGAAAAAATGCTTCCTTAGATTACATGTTTGCAATGCAAGATACCTATTATTAGCATCTAATTTGGAAACAAGTAGTTAAATTTTGCTTCACCTAATTAGGTGGAAAAAGATAGGTGTTTATAGACTCACAGTCAATTTAAAACTGTCATGTGAAAAATTAATACATTTACATTAGACAGGAAGTAGAGATGAACCAAATAATAACTACTGATAAAATTCCTTTACCTATTATTATTCTACAGCCATACACAACTCTAGTACAGTCATAACTATGGGAAGAAAAATTCATGTATGTATCTAGCATGAAGATGTGCAGGTTTTGACTCAAGTCAGAAATTAAAAAAAATTCATAATGGACATTTACATATGCAAGAATCAACTGTGAATTTCACATTTTCACCTGTTGGAATTTCTTGAGTTTCTGGGTTCAAACCCCCACCACACTTGCAACCAACCACAAGGGGGATTCCTTCTTTTTTTTGGTTGTTAAGGAATGTGTCCATGCTGTCAGAATCTTACACGCTGTTATTTGAAATCAAAAGGATAAGGCAGGAGATGAAACAGCGTAATCTTACAGCGCTTCTGCGAATACTCAAAGCTATTACTCATCTTCCTGACTCAGTCACCTGGAAGGACATGACCAACGTTATTCCTGACTATTATGTCTTTATTTCAGTGTCCTGTAGGTATTTTAAAGGATTTGATCTGAAAGCATATGATTGATTTTATTTGTATTCTTCCGTTATCATGTATCAGTATACTTTCAGATGAAGGAAGTGGTTTCTGTCTCCCGTAATTTCTTTAGGGTACAAACAGCAACTAGAAACTAAGCTTCCTAGACTATAGCACAGATTGAGGTCAAGAGTTTACAAAAATGCTTTTATCATTTAATCACAGTAATCAATCACTGAAATTAGATCTCTAGATGTACCATGAAAGGCTTCAGAGAAGGAAACAAACAGCTTCATCCAGAAGTGTTTAAAATCAATTAAATATGGTTTTCATTTTATTTTGTTTTAATTTAACAAGAGCTTTTAATTTAATTTCACCACTATTTTAATTCTCTCTACTCTGTGACCCAGTTACACATTGTGAAAGGAAATATTTGCTTAAGTCTCTCAGAAACAATGCACTAATATTACCCTGAAAGTGACATTTCACAAGGGGAACAAAATTGTGAATTCTATTCCCTTCCCAAAGCATGAAGAGTCTGTTTCCATTACTCTTCTATAAATACTGGAAACACACAGTTTTTTACATGTTTCTTAATTTTTAGCTTACTTAGACTTTTTTGCCAGACTTCCTCAGTTCTCTGAACTTCCCTTTTAATAGCTTATAAAATCATCTGCCTGTACCTTCAGTCCTCAACTTTGAAGTCAAGTTTCAAAATAACTTTAAGACACACCCAACTGAATAAACGAAGAACTTCAGAAGCAAGGACAATAAGGATAAAAGTGCATGACAGTAATTCATTGCAAGGAGACAGAAGTAACTTCCTGGCTTCTATAGGAGCTACTATTTACAACCTATTTACATCTTTTACATAATGCTACATTGCCATAATTATACACCAGCCAGAGAGACTCCCAAGAATCTTAAAAGATAAAGCAACTTCAACTAAAGTTCTGAACTCTACGAATCTTTATGAAGTCTTTCTGAAGTGCACTAGCTATCAGGACACACGCTAGAAGATAGCCTATGGTACAGCTCAAAGCTGTATGGCTTATGTAAAAGACAAGAAATTGGCATTTTAGATGTCATGGTATTTCCAGGGAAAAGGAAAAACCTTGGTTCTAGTCTGGTATCCAGACTTAGACAAAATCCCAACTGAGCAAGGCTACGGAGTGAAAAACGTGACATTCAGGGCCCCGGTGCTATAACTTTTGCCTACGGAAGTTCTGGGCAGTAATGGAATCACCTTCTTCTCCTCTGCCATATCTGAATACAAACAGCTGCTGTACTAGTTATTTTAACGCTCAGAGGTGCAGAGCTCAGCAGCTCACTGCCTTGTCTCTGAATAAATAACATCACGTAGGCTGAATACGAGCATGTAACTCTTCAAAATGTGTCATTTTTAAGTATGTGCCGGTATCTGAAGAACTCTAACACAAAAATGTCAGTGGGTGACTCATGTTTAGGCAACCTCTAGAGGATCTGAATTGACTTGACTTCAGCATCTAAATTCTGTTTATATACTGTTTTAAGCACCACAGTGAGCTCCTCAAGAGATTTTCTTTACTCAGTATTATTTCAGGCTATGAACCTGTACCCAAGCTCATCCAGAATATACAGAAGAAGATAATAAATACACCTGTAAGAGAGACCAATTTTGCCTTGAAATGCAGTAGTGCAAGTATTTGCCACAGAACCTAGTAAGGAAGATGCTGAGGCTCTGCAAGTTATTGATTTAAAACCCTTTTACAAGCAATGACATGAGGAATTAAAAAGGGGATAGCACAGAAAATCTTCATGTCTTCACATGTTGGAAAACCCAAGCTGCACCACAACATCAGTCAGTCATATCAGTCATAGCTGGGGCACAGCATGCTATGCATATCCTGTCTGTAGTGAGGTTCACTGGCCTTATGGTCTCTAAAACTCTTAAGTTTTACTTCGAAGTAAACAAGTCTATTAATCATTTCTCCTGTCAAGTGAAAGGATCTTCACATGAAAATGTGCTGCTTTGCTTCAAGGTAAAGACAAGGACATGCCAGTGGTATCATCGCCAGGTGAGGGTTGCCTACAGACTTCTCTGTTATGGTTAGCTGGCTAACTTTATCCTGCAGCCAAGTGGTATGTGCAGAACAGCACAGGCATGCACCTACTCAGGTCAAATGTACTCTGAAGAGTTAGTGATCCACATAATAGTCTCCCTGTAAGCATCACTACATGCCCTGACCCACCTAACACTAGCTGGTAGGAATACAGAGTATCGGGAAAAAAAGTAATAAATAAAAAAGGAGGGAGGAGAAAAACTACACTGACAATTGAATAAAAAAAGTTATACGCTGCTTTTTGGGGGGCATGGGAGGATGGGACAGAGAAGTTTACTTATTTCAGTTACATTTTGACATATAAAATTACTGGTAAGTTATCAGGTATATCTAAAATTTCTGGTTCTCACAGGGGGCAAAACACTACTGCATTTTTCAGAGTTAGCAATCAGTATTCACTCCATGTGAAAATACACAACAGGTTCCCTAACTCTCAGCAAGCTGAAGTCAGGATTTCACAAATCATCTGGGAAAGGAAAGAGAGAGAGAGTCAGCTCCTGTGATCCAGGAGAAGCACCTAAAATGGTACTTCATACTCCCTTCCCTGATGCAGTTCCCTACGAAGAGTCACAGTTTGAGCCTCCACAGTTAGGCATTCTGAAAACACCATGTAAATGCATACCTTTTAAAAAGGGAAACATTCAGTAGAGATCAAAAGTCTTGTTGACTTGATAAAATGAACAAGATGCATCAGAACTAGTAATCTGTATGACTGATGATTGAACATGCATTTGATAATCTTTCTAGGTTTTACAGATTTGTAGGTTTACATTTACATTACCTTCCAGATGTGTTCTTTAGTATAGCAAGAGCATCTGGGTAGCCATCCATATTGTAGTCTCCAATATGAAGTGTGATTGGAAATGAAATTTCTGTTGAAGATTTGTCATTTTCATATGGCACAAAGCCCCAGAGCGTGTCTTTATTTCTGAAGTCTTGCAAGACTGGAATCCACTGTAAATAAAAAAAGGACAGATAGATAAGAAAATCAATTTAAATTTTTTAAACAACCCAATTCTATTTAAACCAGCTGAGATTTCTTCACTTTGTAAGGATCCTTAACCTTCTGCATATTTCCAAAGAGGAAATAAGGATTATATCCTAACCCTGTCACCAAATAAAAAAAAACCAAAAATTTGTCTTTTCTATGCACTGATGGTGCCTAGAAAAAAAGTGCAATTCCAGAACAGCAGCAGCAAAACTCCATAAGATTGTAAGAATAAAGGACCTGCGTTTTGGAATATATTCAGTATATGGAGATATTAAGGAACAACATAACTGCCATTCAGGCTTGTCTGAAATCTGTACTAATCTGCAAGTGGAGGTAAGCCCAAACCATCAGGGTCTTGAGACCCTGGGTCCCATTGTTTTTCTGGGAATTGCAAATGATAGGCCGCATCCAAGCTAAGGAGGGAGGCACCCACATTAATTTTGTGGACAACACTGAATTGGGGGATACCATCAGTAAGCTTCAGGACAGGATGGCCATTCAGAGGGGACCTAGAAAGGCAAGAAGAGGCAAACAGGGACCTCATAACAATCAGCAAAGTCAGTCCTGCACAGGGGACTAGACCCCTGTAACAGTAGATGCTGAGACTGGCCAGCTAGGTAGAAGCTCTCCTAAAAATAGATGTGTGGATCCTGGTGAGCAGTAAGCCAAAGCTGAATGTGGCAGCTGTGACAGCAAACCAGCAAGCACACTGCACTGTAGCTGCTGCCTGTGCTCCTGCTGATTGAGGCAAGTGATTACTGCTTTCTTCAGCACTTAGTCTGCATCTGGATTCAGTGTCCAGTTTTGTACCCCAGGATTCAAGGAGAATTTGAGAACATTAAGTGTGTTTAGGGAACAGTCACCAAGATCGTCAGGCATTGAATATTCATTCAAAGGACAGGCTGAGGGCGCAGGGCTTGTTCAGCCTGGAGAACAGAAGATTCAGGGGGATGTGAGAGCAGCCTTCCAATACCTGCAAGGAGGCAACAAGAGATGCAGCCAGGCTCTTACTGAGAATGATGGCAGAACAACAAAAGACAGTGGTCACAGATTGACACAAAGGACGTTCCAGGCTCTGAGAAGTTGCAGAATCTTTGTCCTTGGGGGTTTTCAAAGTCTGACTGGACAAAGCTCTAAACATGGTCTGAATTGAGTACTGCCCCAGCTTAAAGCAGGCTGGATTTCCTATGGTTCATTTCAGCTTGAATGATTCTATTATACATGGATATTTAGAAGCTCAAGAGCTTCAATCCCCCTCCTATCTCCCCAGCAGCACCAGATACTAAACTGTTTGATAAGAAATTCAGATTACAGTATCAAATTGAAAGTACAAAAGAAATGCAAAGTACAATTTCTCCAGGACAAGAAATAGAATATATCTGCACTTACTTTCCAAAGTGCTGCAGAGGTGCTAAGTAGGAGTTTTATCTTAATTAAAAATCAAAGTAATTTCACAAGTTGATGTGAAGCTGAAGTACCAGGGTTAACATTTCAATGCTACAGAAAAATTCAGTGCCATTTTTAAAGTCTATATGTCAACTAAGTGACGCTGCCTTTAAAAGGACAAAAGGGTGGCATCTTGAAGGATCACTGTCACCCACATCAGAAGCACTTAACAGCATTTTCAATATCTCTCAGAAAATGCTTTAATTCATCTATTTCAGGAACCAGAATGAGATCCCTGACAGCATCATTTCCTGCTGTGGAGAGACTCCTGCACAATCACAGTCCAGTGTTATCAACAACACTCCTGCCACATGGCAATTGCATGTGACAGGAAGGCCGCTCCACGAGACTACATACAACCACATGCATATTAGAGGAGCCCCCCAAATTATTTTAGAAGTGCACTAAACTCAACTTTATTTAGCCATCACAGATGCCTGAGACCCCTGGAACAGTTCCATCAGACACAACACGTACTTAGTGCACGTCTGCCTGTGTAAGTGATGATATTTGAACTGAAATGAAGATCTACACCACCTGATGAAGACACAAAGTTGAAACTAAACATACTGAATCTTCCCTCCCCTTCCTTCCCTTCCAACATATGCATGCCTATTTAGTTACCGTTCATTGCTGAAGGTTTGGAAAAATCTAAGAAACAGAAAATGAGAAAGACTTGACCTGAGGGAAATTTTTCAGCAGGTTAGATTTCTTAGCACTTATTTGCCATGCAGAAGACAGATGAAACAATATTATTGCAAAATACTGTAATTTGGAAAAATAGTGATTGAAACCAGAACCATGAAATATCACATAGTTTTCACTTTACATGATATGATTCACACAGTCATTGCAAGGAAATCCAATTATATCCATCATATATTTTCTAAACGTGCCCATGTATGGTAACAGTATTTTAAAGAAGTAAAATTAAAATGAATTTTTAGGCATAATTCCAAATTCATATTGCTTTTATTCAGACTGATTCATAGGAAGCAATTTTACAATCATAACATCAACAATGAGAAGTAGAGACATAAAACAATAGGTGAGCAAACCAGAAACATCCCCTATTGCTACCAAGCATCATCGCTGTTCGTGCTACAGAGTGAGATTCATCCATCCCACTGAACCAGTGGGACTTTTTCTAACAGCAGTTGTACATTTCAAAACCACCAGTCTTGTCCGATGTGTAACTAGAGCATGCTCTAGCAACATCTGTAACCTACCCTGACAGTTTAAACTCAGAGTAAGCTGCAGTTTTAGTGAAACTCATTCTGTATGTTTCCATTATAAATGGCAGTGTTGTGTAATGTAATGCAAGATTAATTGTTCATGTGCCTCAGGACATATTTCAGTACAGAAGGCAAAAAATGAAAAGAGGTTTGTCAAAAATATAAATCTCCTACTCCTTTTGTATTTGATAATCCAAACATTTACTTTAAGCGTCATCTTTGGTGTTACTATATTAACAGGAAAAAGACAAAACCCACTTTTTTTCCTTTCACTAAGATAGAAATAGATGGGTACAATGAGGACACACAAAGCTATTTTTTTTTTTTCAGTTTTCTGATCATATGATTTCTGTTGCCTACCTCAGATGAAAAAACAGATTGAAAAATGGAATGAGTGTATCTAAAAGAAAATTTGAATGAATACAAATATTAAGCCAGAGAAATGAAAGATTTACTCTGCTGTTATATTCCACTGCACAGTACTTGTAATGTCATTACCTAAAACATTTATATACATAAAACATTTATATATCAATTAATGATTTTGTAGGCTGAGAGAAATACATTTAAGTGCTTGAAAAATTCTTTCCAAACTTTTCAAATATGTTTTTCAACAAGTAGATGAGAGAATGCTTTACAGCCTTGTGAAAACAGTGTCTTTCTAATTTTGAAAAAAAAAACAAAAAAACAAAAAAACTCAGATACTTGAGAAAAATTACTACTTGCACTTATGCTGCTTAACTCAAAAAGAGCTTATTTCTTTTAGAGTCCACATTGTTCTATACATTAGGAATGACACACTGTGGTGTTTAAAGCTCAGAAGATGACAATCCCCAACACTGATTCAGCAACAGAGAAAAAAAAAAGTAACCAAAGGGAATGTGACTCTCAGCCCCCTGGCTTCTTTGAGAAAGACAAGCAACTTAGAAATAATGAAAGGACCTTGTAGAATCTGGGATTTATGGAAACTACAGCAGCTGCAATCCTCCTTCCCCTTTAAACTGTTATAGAGGAACAAGGGAAAACTTCTAACACTGACCAACTGCAGCCGATAATCAATGTTGTCAGCACACCTCTCCAGCCTAGAGAATGACACCACAACGACCTGTAGTTTGCTGTAGGCTGCATCCCTGTTCTACTTCAGAGCTGCTAGATATGTACGAGGAATAAAACTATAACCTTCTGATTGTACAGGAAAAGGTTGTAAGAATCATCAAACCCACAAAAACTCAAATGAAGGGACTGAAATTATACCATTTGCCTCAGGAAACAAATGAAAAACCATACTGAATATTTGGCAAAATTAAAAGAAACATCAGTCTTCTCTAAGAATATCATAATTACCTAGAGTTTCTACAATAAACAGTATCAGACAATTTCAAACATTTTTAAGGGAGAATTCAGTCTAATTTGCAGAATCTAGACCAGAAATCTAAGTCAGCTAGAAGACTGCTCTGTAGCTATTGCAGGTGAATTTGATGAGTCTGAGTTGTCCTAACACCTGCCACCATCTGAAGCAGTGTATTGGATTCTACTTCGGTTCTGAGAGCAATTCTTCTGTTGCTATGGAAACACTCACAGTCTTTAAAAATTTTAGTAGGTCTGCATCTCCTTAAGTCACTCATACGTATTTTGTTGGCCTTCACTTTTGCTCTGTAATCCAAAAGAAGAAAATTTATCTGAGCTATTTCTAACACTTATGACGATTAAGTAATGAAATAAATAAAAAACTATGGTAAAAGATCATCCTTGACATAATTATCCTAGATCTGCTTGGTTTTCCAGTAGCTATCTGGCTGTGCCAAAGACATCACAAGAAATATACTGCAAGCTGACAGATACCAAACAAGATCTTACCACAACACCTCCAAAGCCTGACATGCCATTGCATGCCTCTCCACAGCACAATTTTTAGACCCACAGATTCTACAGATGTGTATTTCTGAGAGTTATGCATTTCATCCCAATGCATCATATGCTATCATGAGACTGCATTAACTGTTTCTGATTTGGTTTCACCAAATGTCACAACAAGCAAGCACAGAGGACAGAACCAGGTCCGGTTACCGTACGCAAAGTATTTCTTGTAAGAAAGTATTCTAATTTGTGATCTTTCAGATCTGAGGACAGTAAGTTTCCTTAAAAAAAAACAAAAAAAAAAAAAAAAAAAACAAAACAAAAAAAACCCCCAAAAAACACAAAACATAAATCTGAAAACCAGAATTCTTCACTATACTCTTAACTTAAAAAATCCCCTCCAGAATACCCTACAGCAAAAACTGAACAGAGATAAGATAATGGATATATAGCAGCATCTATTTTTTCAGTAATGGACTTCCAATCTCTCAGTTTCCCATAGATTCCCTATAATTACATACCTGTTCCACAAGGGGTACCATCCCCTTGTTCAAATGCTTTCTGCACCACAAGGGCTCATTATTATTTCCCTCAAATAAACAAAAGGAATTGATCCCAGGGTGCTGCCACAAAGTTTGTGTTTATGATTTCTCAAGAAGATTAACTTATTTAGTCAAAGCTTGGAAGCTGGGTCATCTGATCTCAAAAAGACCACATTCAATGAAATTAAACATTTAACTTCCAAATAAATATGGGAAGTAACATGTTTGAGTAGATTTCTACCTGAAGGTAAATGCAACTCATGTGAAAAACTGTAGAAATATGAATGAAGATACTGATATTTTCCACTCTATCTTTTCCATTCTGAAAATGCTTTAGAAGAAAAAAGCTCCATCACCTCTAGATGAGTCTGAGAGTTCAAGAAAAAGAGTATTCTAGATACAGTTCCTTAAAAAGGTTAGGCCATAACAAGTCATTATTTCACACCATTTGATAATGTATTTTTAAATTAAAACCTCTAAAAATATGCAGGGAAAATGGCTTTAAAGTTTCTAGATAACTCCATGTTATTAATACTTTTTTTCAAGCAGGTTAAGAACCTGATGGATTCTTCACTTCTATATTGAAGTGACAACATTTGGCTGCTAATTTTTAACTTATCTGTCTTTATTTTGACAATTATTTAATTTCTTAAAATTTAAATTACTTAAAAATTGAAACTACATCACAAAATTGCACAATTAAGTATAAAAATTAAATATACGGAGAAGTATTAAAAGTTACAGTAAAAACTTGTATATTGGTAATTAAATAGTTGACCTCCGTCAAAAAAATGAAATAATGAAGGAACAGAAAGACTGTCTACATGCAACGTTACTTCAGAGCAAGTTACAATAAAAGACTCTACTTCAGAAAAGTTCTGAATTACAGTATTATGTAAATTGGCCCACACCTTCCTCTGCCAGTACCGTGTCGCTTCCCTCTTGAAGCGTTCCATGGGCAGACAACGTAACTTCTCTTTAGCACACTGCTCAGCCAATCACTACTCTCCAGTAACAGCTGCCTATCTCTCAATGGTACACGCTATTGGTGTGTGGGTGTTTTCCACACTGAAATTACTTTCACTGAGAAGATTTGTCTCCAATGCACTTGAGCAGAAAATCTCTAATGACTTCTACTTCTTATATTATCAGGAGTGAGGAATCAAACTTAGAGCTAAAAAGCAGCTGTCTTTTGACACCAGCACCCCAACTACTCAACAGTGCAAAGTAAGCGGTCTGTTACAGTAATATAACCAGTTTTACATACTTATTAGAAGTCTGTGTTCTCCCCTTTGGCCAGAAAGCAATATAAGTATCATGAACGGCACATCCACTTGCTTTATACAAAGGCTATGACGGGTAAATCAAACTCTACTGTTACATTGTCTTCCTAGCAACACTGTAATCCATTGTCTCTATTATGCATTCACAGGGAACTACTGTAAAAAACCCAACCCACAAACAACCAAACAGTATGCAGAGGAAAACATGCATTTCTTAAAACACAGATGCCAAGACTAGAAGGCTGAAAGAGATACATTACTAAATTGAGAGTTACTTACTCTTTCTTACACTGATAGTATATTCCATCCTAGCTGTACTTCCTTAACGGACTGGTAACTGCATGCTTTCCTTTCCAGCACAGAGTGATTTTCACACTAGTAGGAAAACATGCTATAACCTGTGTTCTAGAAATTCCGATTCTTTCAGTGAGAACATCTGCACTATAAACTTGAGCTGCAGGCTATAACAAGAAGCACCTTATCAAAGGATGTGCTGTTTCTTGAGCAAACAGTATGTTAACCTATGAAGTCCGAAATACAGTTCAGAGAGGGTATTACTTCCATGCCAAAATTCCACTTTTAATTTTTCAGTAAAGGAATAATCAGTAATTCATAACCTGATTAGAAACATATATGGTATACAGTATAAAATTCTGTAAGTACACTACAGCGGGTTTTGATGTCAGCTATAAGCAAGTACTTTATAGGCCACCTTGGCCTTGAGGTTCATGTTACTAAATATGCATTCAGTAAAAATATTAATTAAGGCATCAAATGTTAGGATAATTTATTGTAAGCTATGACTTTACTATAAAACAAGGCATGATAAATACTTAGAAGACCAGATATTTTAAAATAAATTAATATATATTCATCTATTACATGAATTATGACCATGTCTTTCAAGGCAAGTAGTCCTGTGAACAAACGAAGCTGAAATAGTTTACTAGAAACCCAGTCCTGAAGGTGTATAGCCTACACAAGTCTTCATAAACATTTGGAAGTTTACTTCACTAATAACTATCAAAGACACAGTAGAAATAAGGAGTAGGTGGTGTGGACTGGTTCAACTTGATTTACGTGTGTGTATATATATATATATTTAAGACATTTTTTTTTTTTTTTTACAGTAAAATAACTCCCTAACTTAAACCAAAGAAGCTTATTTGTATTAATTGGATCTTTTTCCAGTTCTTAACAGAAAGCTTGTTTTTCCTCTAGTGCTAGGGTAGTTATGGTGCTTAGAATGCAGTGTTGTGCACTGTTGTCAAGAAAGTGTCAACTCAGAAACATCCATGATTTTCTCGAGTAAAATTATCCATTATATAGAATTCTAGCTATGCAAACTTCTTCCTCCAAACTTGTATTTTTTAAGATAGGTAATAAATCAGTCAATAAATAAAAGTCTATGATATGAAATAAGTAGAGGTGAGGAAGTTCCATTTTTCTTTCTGGAAAAATAATTTTCTTATTTCATATTATGTCATAAAGCCCAGTATTTTCCTTTGTCTTTGAATTCCAAATTCACAATACCTGATCCAATCCTAGCTTAGTTAAGTAGATGGCACTTTTTCGACACGTTTTATCTTCACAGACTGGTAATAAATGTTCACTTTGTCCATCCCCATCTGTCAAAGAGGAAAAAAAGACTGTCAGCCTTGTATTTGCAAAAACAGAAGCTCTGTTTGCATGAGATAATCAGCTTTAAGTAGTTAATTATTAATTTTAAATGTGAAAAATTATAAAAGAAACTAGACCTATTCAAAATCCTTAACCTAATAATCTGAGTCCTCTGTTTGAAGGTGGTCTTCGTTGATGCGTTTTCATCTTGATCCAAAAAACAAAGTTTAAATTTTATTACTGATTATAATTTGATATATTTAGAAGAGTAAGTGTTTAGTAATTGACTCAATCCTTGTGTTTAGTCAGGAAGAAAATGACCTTCAATACAAATACACCATCAAAAGTCTTCATACAAACTTATTTAATTTTCTGAACTAGTTTTAAACCCTTATGCCATTAGCAAGGCTTTAAGATGAGTTTTGAGCTCACATATAATATGTTAATCTGTAACATAAGACAAAAACACCACTGGAAAGCTGACTAACAGAAATGGCTAATACAATTGCAGGCTTACAGAATCAGGTAAATCTGAGTAATTGACAGGTTTTAAAAATTTTTTTTTGGTGGCTTTAATTTAGGTACTGCCAAACCTTTAGAAGAATAATGACCTTTTAATGTTTAAACAAGCAATGCGTATCTCAATCTAGAATTCTGACACAGAGAACATAATGGGGGAAAAAAAAAAATCAATTTACTGTTCGTTATGTGTTCCAGGAGAAATCCCTGTTCATATTTTGACCTTGCAGCCCTGCCCAGCCCTTTCAGAAATACACTCCCTTTTAGTAAAAGACAAGCCACAGGTTACTTGTACAGTCTGTGGAGGAAGAACAGAGAAGTAGTTGGCCATAATCAGCCAAAAATTAATGCAGCTCGAATTGCTGCATTAATGACTACTGCTGCAAGTCCTGATGATAACCAAACCTGACTTGCTAGAGAGATGGTATGCTCCAGCTCAGGAAAATTTCAGGGAATTCACTTTTCCAGGCTATGAAATCAAAGCTCAAACTGTAAATTTAACATGAACTGAGCAAACTCAAAATTGATCTTTTCAAATTGCCCCATAGCCCATAAAGTTCTGAGGAGCTTGGTATAAATATTTTCAGTGGATTTTTAAAAGTTGCTTGATGAAATGTCCTTACTTGGGCAGATGATCTAGTTCTTGCATACCAAGTCATCAAATCCCGTATTAATTTCCCAATACACCACTGACTACAGTCTAAACGTTCTATCATACTCCACCCATACTGTAAGAAATGCTTTATCAGCTTGCCACATTATAGTTCTATGAAGCTGTTCTGTTCAGAGTATGTCTGTATATATATATATGTAATGTATCTGTGCATAGTTAAGATTCCCAAGGGAAAAAAGTTATTTAAAAAATAAATTTCCTCAAGAAAAATCCTGAAGATGAGGCATCTGAGGGACCATTCTTAAATTTGCCTAGATCAAGTTATTGCTGTATCCACCGATCAATGTTTTTTCAGATAGATATCTATCTTATGAATTCTGAACTGGTTTTGGCATTTTATTTATTTGATTGGTTTTTTTTTTACACTGTGCTTAGCTGAATGTAAACATAACAATGAAATAAGATAAACATATTAGTCCAGTAAGTTAGTATAATTGCATTTGTCTTAAGCATAGATGAATGAAAGTAAATTTTAAGCTAAGTTCATGTGGCACTGTATATTACCCATTCCTTCAATGGGTATTCTAAAATTAATGTTTTAATAAAATCCATCTTATAGAGCTCTGCAAAACTATGGGTTTACAGTATGACACTTGAATTTTGAAGTGACATAGGCTGTGAAGTTCAAGTGAAGGGGGACACATGCTGAGGTGACTGAGGAACGCTGAAAAGTCCATGGGCACTTCCATTTCCTTCCCTCCTCAGAAGTGCATGGCTCTCATCAGCTGATTTAGCTGTAGAATGGCTCACTGTGGAATCCGCTAAGAATGAGAACCAACACACTGGAGAAAGCAGAAATATAGGAGCAGGGAAATCAAAGTATAAACTTGAACCACAAAGTATTAATATAAGTGTTTAACATGTTGCAGAACTGCCTTCACAGTCGAGACACAGAACTACCAGCTTCAAAAGCAGGTATTAGGAAGCAGAACCTAAATAAAAGCACGTGCTTTAAAAATTCTTCATGTGGTTCCTAAGTGTAGAGTTTCCAATGCAATTTATAGTCATTAAAAGTTTTTGATGTGCTACCACATTTACACAGAAATTACTTCCTGACATTTATTTGTCATACTTGATGACTGAAGTACAGCTGCAAATATTTTACCTATTATGTGCTTAAGACACAGAAAAAGATTATTAAAAAAATTACAGATCTACTTAGATTAACACATAAAGAACATAGCCAAAGAAAGCTGGAACAATTAAAGCATCTAACTTTCCAAAGATTTGTAACATTTATGATACACAATAATGTGCACTTTATAAATCTGCCTCAAAGAGCTTCATAATTAGGATTTTTCATCCAAAAGAACAGGTTAGGTACATATTTGTACTGTAGACAAAACAGATTTTAAACTTAAAAGGTATCAAGTAAAGTGAGAATATAGCTGGAAATAGAACATCAATGAAACAAGAACATTTTGAGTTGTAGCAGAGTAGTTTAAGAAAACCCAAAATTAGTTAAATACTGTATCACAGAAAAGTAGCAATCAAAAGAAGGAAAGCCCAACACTCTTCACCTGCATCACGCTATTATCTCTTATTTCTTCTCTAGTTTTTATTTCTAATGCGCATTTTATGATTTACAGAGCCATCTTTTACTGTCGTGGCTATCTGATCAAAAGCAGTTTTCTGAAGAAAAATCACAGACTGTCAAAAATGTTAACACATTTTACAAATTAACTGAAGCTGTTATTTTTGACAAAAATAATAAAGAATAAGGATAAAATCCACCTAGAGTATTGGCTAAAACTGTAGAAGAATATATTTCAATTACAATCTTGCAGCAATCCTTGTTGAAAAAGCCTAAGCAGGAAAAAAAACCCTCCTCCAAAAACAGCCCTAAGCTCAGAGATAAAGCAGAAACTATTTCACTATTCGTTGTCATTTTAAACTGTCCTCATACGTAATAAATAGAAATACAATGTTTCCTGTATTTATGAAGCTTTTAAACCAACAAATGGACACAGCAATTGTTCTAATTTTGAAAGAAAATAATTTATTCTTAACCCTTATGTGATTCCCAGCGTGGAAGCACCCACTGAAATGCAAAGATTTGGTCTAACTCTACTGATCTGGAAGACCACACAAAAAAACCCAGTAGTTGCTCAGAGAGCTCAGTCTTGCCAACAACAAACTTACCTTGGACCTACAATGCTAAGTCTTCTCGTCTTCATGTTTGCTTTCAATATCAGTTTAAATAAGCATCCTTCAATTTTAACCTTTAATCTTGAATTTAAATTTCTCCACAAAGGAAGAGGAAGACAAATTAGAAAGGAGGATCATTAACACATTTGCTCTAGTGCAGTTAGGTATTCATAGGAGAGAAAACATGCATTGGTGACAATGGCTGGATGAACCCATTAGACCAGCTGAAATAAGCTGCCCTAGGTTCAGATTTTAGAGAATACCTTGCATAACATGTCTTCCATAGTGTACTTCAGCCAAAGTCTACCTACGAAATCTATTTCTGGATGTCCTCTGTATTCTTCACTCAACTCTAATCTATCTTTCCATTCCTGTACAGATTTTAAACCATCTCAGTCCAATTTACCAGAAATCTCAAGGTTATGCTTGCTTGTAAATTCAGTGTAATTTCTAGCACTACATGTAGCTAAACATACTCTAGACTCCAAAAGTTCTTTAATATCACCACTAGAAGCATGTCTGACATACAAATAAAAACTCAACCGTTAGCTAGTGTGTTCTCAACACATGATTCTGGCTTGACTGATACCAAAGAACTACATGGTTAATAAAGATAACATTTGACAGGCAGTGGAAAAGGCTAGAAAAAGAACAATCCCACATACCCATCAGCTGTAAATCTCTACTTATGTCAAAATACATAAAGACAAAATTAGCAGTCATGACATCTAGGAATCGCGTGAGAATCATTACTTACAACTGCCTGTTCATTTTATTTCAAAGAAAAGCCATGGATACAAAGCTGCCTGGCCAACATTTTGCCCATGTCTGCAAAGTGCTAGCAATCCAGTCTGGAACAGGAGTAACAAAGACACAGATTTTGCCTATCACTGGGAGCACACCTCACACAGAGAGATCGTGTGTGAAAAATTACTCGCAGCTGAAGCTTTAACATTTGATTGTGCATGTCCATATTTGCAAAAACCATGGTTCAAATCTTTTCTATCTATTCTACAAGTAAATTTGAGTGGGAAAAAGCAGAAAAAAAAAAAACCCTTGTAAATCAGATTAAGAACAACAATGTTAATAAAAAGTGTTTTATGTTCAAGAAGCAATACTAATGTACCGTAGCATAAGCATACATTTCACAATGAATGCACAAATAGCCAACAGCGTCTCAGTGGTTACTCCAAGAGACTCATTAACCCTGAGGTCCTGGCATCTTACTAAATTGCACATCTACATGCAGATATTGTGCTGTCTGCTAATTTGTAATGGTAACACTAGAGTTTGTGTAGTTACACCTTTGACAGCTAAGAAATTGCTGTAGCAGGTCTATTAGGTTTTAGCCCTTTCAATTTGAACCAACTGGATTATCATCTCACATTGGCAAAGACCTTTTGTGACGCAGGAAAAAAACCTCTCAGTTAATTCTCTCTGACAACTAACTTATCATCTACATCTATTTATAATTGAAGAGAAATAGATACAAAGTAACTAAGCTGAATAGGCAAATAGGCAGCAGGCCTTACAAGAGAGAAAACTCAAAATGTATCTCCTCCCTACCAAACTGATTTAAGAAAAGTTTGTTAGTGAATTAAGAAATTCTCAAGGAAGTTACATACACAGTGAATTTCTTCCTGAACCAAGATGTATCAGAGATAATGC